TTTGAGTGATCTCGATATTTGATCTACATAGCTAATTGAGCAGTTGACAGAAGATATTTTGTTCATGGTATTGTTTCTGTCCAACTTTTTCATTGGATCTTTGAATTGGTTTAATTTATTTCTGTTGAGGTTTATGGGCTTGGATGTGCTTCGAATGCCTGGTATTCTGAGATTCATTTGGATTAATTCAAATGTACCTTTCTTATATAGCAGTTCCACAGTGTTTTTTTATATTCATCTTTCTTATTGTCTTACGTTTTTCTTTCCCCGGGTCTTTTTTTTAAACATCATCTCTTATAGACTGCTCAGGGTAGTGATTTCCTATTAACATTTTGAGCCAAATGTTTATTTTCTTTTCTCTGATCACTACGGTATGTTGTCAACCTATATATTCTACTGGCTAGACTCTGTACTGAGCGGTAATTTAGAAATCTTCCTAAACGCGTCGATTTTCTATAAGTAGCGGTCTTTAAACTTACATCTTTCATTCTTTACATTTTACAGTCTTACATTGGTAGTTCTGCCAATTCATTCTCTATTTCAATATCGAATTTTCTTCTTATTATTATTATTCAAACACACGCATGGTACTGCAAGGGGACCTAAAAATGCGCCACACAAAATAGTATAGTAACATAGTGAGGACATAAACGATGGGAAGTGAATAAGTAAAGGAGAAAAACAGTAAGAATAGAATGATTAGGAGGGCAGTTCAGTAAGATGCATTCGAAACAAAGCATTCATTACTTTTCAGTAGCAGAAGATAAGAGGAAGCTACGGCATGACTGCCATTGTCTTTAATTCTGAGCCATATCTGATAACATCTCAAGCCACTGGGTTTTATGATCTCTTCGACCCCACCTAAGGAGTCGTAATGGATCAACGGATGCTGACCCGATACAACTGTCCTTCATTACACGACACGATGTCATTCACTGACCACCCATCCGCTTCTTCTATCCAATCCCAAGGTTGGCAGTCATTGGGACGATATGTGTAACAGATGTCCAAGCCAGTGAAACCGGTGTTTCCAGATGACCTCACTTATTGGACGACCACCTCCATCACACCAAAACACAAACATTCATGCCTCAAAATTATTTACATGATGTTGCGACCGGATATGAGCAGTCTTACAGAAACAACGATGATCGAACATACCGAGTTGTCTCACATCCTCAGCTCGGAAAGGCTAGGTTTCACAGGCTTATAGAAGAAATGCTCGCACAAAAGCATTGTAAACCTGACCTTTGACAGATAGACTAACGTTGCGATGGTACCAGACGTAGCCCAGATTGACGTATGTCACTCTGGCTTTCGATAAATAGTTATATATTTTGTCACTCACATCGCCACTAGCAATCACATAACTACCCAGATACACGAACTGTTTAACTACTTCCAATTGCTCACTACTGAGGTTGAGCGCAGACATAAGCTGCTGGCAATCTTGCAAAAGTACTTTGTACCTTAATGGTCCCAAGTACAAACCATACTTAACTTAGTCTACATGACAGTTTATATAGGCATTAGAAAGTGTCAGTATTTTTTTTCTCTATTACAGCCAGCAATAAATCTGACTCGGGGCTATTGTCAACAACATGAAGCACTGTACTAGAGGGAAGCGATGACAAACATACGAAATGAAAACATCATATATATGCGCGGAAAAATAATACCAACATCTGATGTGATCACGAGCAGTAATTTTGCGCAAAGTATTACCAGATGGGAAACGAAGAGTTGGGCATCCAAGACGAAGGTAACATGGAGGAGATCGTGCCAGGAAGAAATGACAGCTTCTGGGCTGTCGTGGAGCCGGGTTCAAAAAATTGCAGAGAACAGAGTACACTAGAGGCGTGCTACTGAAGCCCTATACGCCACTAGGAACCTAAGGGACATATGATAATAATAATAAATTACCGGAATTAAATAGTATAGTTGTATGTAAATATTCATTGTAAATATATTTGTAATAAATTGTTTCTCTTTGCAATGCACGAATTTATCATGAATATAATTAATACTCACAAAATGATACCTCATTACTTATTTGTTTAACGTAATTCATCCTTAGTTAGAATTTTATATTACTTATCATTTTGAGGATGTCAAACTCCCGAAGAAGGGAGACCTCAGTGTTTGCAAGAACTGAAGCGGAATCACACTTCTGTCCACCCAGAGCAAGCAAATATTAAGGCACATCATACTGGAGAGAGTAAAGGATGCACTGGATTCAAAACTACGACGATCCAGGATGCAACGCTTTGCATCATCATAGAACAGTGTATAGAATGACAGTCCAGTCAACTCTCCACCTCAACTCCATCGACTTTGAAAAGGCATTTAACAGCGTCGACTGAGAGGTAATTTGGTAGCTGCTTCAATACTACGGAATACCGCCTCATTCAACAACTATATGAAGACGCCACATGCCATGTAATTCACAATGGGAAGCTCAGTGATGCCTTTGAATTGAAGTGAAGACAGGAGTGAAACAAGGTTGCCTACTATCACTCATAATATTCCTGATTGTAGTGGACTGGATGATGCAACAAACAGTGAGGAGTGAGAAGACGGGGATGTGCTGGCTGGACTGCGGAAAAGAACCTAGAAGACTTGGATGTCACCGATAACTTATGTCAAATGTCGCACAAACTCGAAGATGTACAGGCGAAAACTAACAAGTTGACATAAGAGGCAGGGCAGGGCAGGGCAAGGCAGAGAAGACGGGACTTCAAGTGAATATACAGAAGACAGAGGTGATGAAGATACCCCACCAACAACAACAACAACAACAACAAACTACAATCACCATCAACAGGCGAAACTTAAACGAAGTAACCTCCTTCACCTACCCACCTAGGCAGCACTGTCTCAACTACAGGCGCCACAGGCACACACGAGGATGTCAAAGCAGCCAGAATCGGAAAAGCAAGACAGTGTGGACATCTTATGCACTCCACTAAGCATGTGGAACAAGATGCAGATTTTCAACACGAATTCAGTCAAGTCAGTGCTGCTGTGTGATGGTTGAGAAACTTGGCGCGTTACGAAAGGCATTTCCAACAAACTACATATATCAGACATCAACAACTGCCTGCCTACTCTGGCTTGCTACTGAAGATCAGATGGCCATAATAATAATAATAAGTAAGAAGGAAGTCTGGCTGGCTGGCTGGCTGGCTGGCTGACTGGTTGGCAGTGAACCAACCAACAACCTGTTGCTGAACAAATATGCAGTGGAATGAAGTGGAGATGGATTGGATTGGATTGGATTTAGCATGCACTGAGAAGACTGATTGGGGAAGTCACGCGTCAGGCGAGCCATGCACTCGAGTGTAAGCCAGATGGGAAGCGACTAGTTTGGTGTGGGAGGGTGACATGTAGGAGATGGTGTGAGGAGGAAATGAGAGTTTGTGGACTGTCGTGGAGCCATGTTGAATAGATTTCAGAGAAGATAGTGCATTGGAGACGTGCTAGTGAATCCCTATTTTCCATTAGGTACCCAAGGGACAAATAAAAAATAGTAATAATAAAATCATTTCAGGGTAATGACAGTGAACAATCTAATCAATTCTTAAGAACCGTGAGTTTGCAAATCATCATTTATTTTGTCCACGTTAAATGTTTAAAGTTATCATTACCTATAGTGAAATGTCCGAGTTAAATGTTCCAAACAAGATATTCATTAATATAACAGTGTAGTAGTGACCTATTCTCTAGAAGATATACAAAATTCCGTTCCATTTACTGGTTTCGTATTACATACGATACAGTCAAATCAATCCTTTTCACCTGTTTCCTATCTGCAATACATTAGTTTTATTTGAACACCTTTCATTTTATTAAAGTTTTTTCATCTGACTTTTCCTCTTATTCACATTCATTTAAGACACTTCAGCATTTAAAGGTCTTAGATGGTTAGCTTTCAGTGACACATCGGTTACATGAAAGGCATCTCTGATTTGATATACACCAATATATATTTAATTTCATACAACTTTTTCCATTGTTTATTTTCAGTAAAGCAATGAGAAACAGATTTACACAATGAAATAAGCCTATTTTATTTCGGCACCCTTCTTCAACTACTAACAGCCTACAACTACGTGTGAAATTAGTTAAAATTGAAACATACATCACTGCTAAAAATGAGAAATATAAAAACTGGGTGAAATTTCAAAAAACAGTGGAAATGGTGAATGTTAATATCAGGTTTGAGTTTTCCTACCACTCAGGTTCCAAATTTCATCGTTTTGGTTATTAAACTAAACACTTACGGATACTACAATAATAATGCAATAGGTTTTTCTCAGTTTCTGTCTTCAAACACTCTAAATGATAACGTCTCTGAATGTAACACTAAATGAAATGGTTTGAAACTTTTTCCAAGGGAGAAGTACTCATTGAGATTACAGATACATCTTACTGACTGGTGCGAACAAGCAGGAAACGTTAGCTTAAAGACCTTCTATTGATTGACTTCAAACTATTCATGTCCTATTCAGTTTACTTGTCCCAAAGACCACATGATTACGTTTATTGATCTGATCCAGTTAGACCTTAGGGATTGACAGTGTAGTATTAGTTACCATTGAGATTTGTGAGATCCACATAGACGCTGAAGCAGAACTGAGAAGTATAGTAAATAGTCTGTTTTCCGACACAATGTATAACGTAAAATGCTTTGCTATTCTACTTACATTAGAAAAAGGCGTTTCCTTGATTTTGAAGTAGCATTCTGAAAAGTATTGATGGTTATACACTTGGGTATTTTGTGAATTCAAAAAAAATGCAAAACAGTACTGGCTCGTTAAAGAATTTTTCTAGATAAAAAGATATCACCAATTTCGAATGTTCAGTGAAGCAAAAGTTAGGGAGGACGGCATTCATTCATACGTTTTAACAGAAATTCCTTTGCATATAATAAATCAACACATTTTTCAATGTTATGTCTTGCATTGGGAAGTAACTTTAGACATAAGTTGAAAACTTACCCATCTGAATTGTGGACGATTGTATTTCGTGGCTACATTATAACCTAATCCTGTACACTCTTCAACATTGAACAAAATTAAATTGAGTAGTAGATAAATGATTCTTTGAGCTTGATTTAAATTCCAGTATGAAATAAGTAACCTATTTAATCCACTAAATTGCATTAAACTGAAATAATTTACAGTACATTAAAATATATTAAGTTTGTGAGAAATTAATCGTTATGCTGATGATTATGATGATAGAATGAAGATATGAAATTCTGTTCAATACTTGAAATGAATACTGAAACCCGGAGAAATAAAACGAAATTCATTAAAATTCCAGTGTTACTTATAACATTTAGTACACTGTATTAATGTAAAATAAGAGAGAGAGTGGGTGAACGACAGGGAGAGAGAGAGAAATACTATGCAAGTGTGTCAGTTAACCCGATTGTACTTTACTCGTCTGTTCACTTTTATTGTTTTCAATCAAATTGAACAATTATTACGGTGATGAAAAGTTAATTTTGGTTCATATTTATTTTTATCAACTATGATGATAGTATTCAGTTATTTTTTAACCAATCATAAATGTATAAAACTCCACTTACATCATCCTCTTAATTCCAATTCGACAACTGATAAATAACCCAGGGTGGGTAGACATTTAAACTGGAAAGAAAGAATTCTTATGAAATTCAGTTGGTAGACGAAATTGATGTAAATTACATGGTTCGTTCCTCATTTTACTTGAAAACTGACCTATTTAATGACAATCTACATCAGCTGATCACTTTGCTTGCGTGTATTTGTGTGTACAAGCCAGTGTAGCGCTTACGACGGCCTGAAATGAATCTACCACAACATACTTCTGGATTAGTAGTGGAAGTAGTGTGAGTAGTAGTAGTAGTAGTTTAATTATGAAACATTTAGTAGTGGCTCGTTTTGTTCAATGTAATTGCTGCTACTAAAAGATATCTGCATTATGGATAGCCTTAATAAACTTGAAGGTTGTCTACATTACGCGTTACATCAAGAACAATCAGAGTAAATGCGAAAGAAATATTAGACAACCGATTCCTTTATCACCTGATAATTTGAAGTAAGGTCTTAACAACAGTGTTGTTTGTTGCCACCGCAGTGACTAATTGAAAACACCTAGGGGCTCACCACGCTTTACAGGTTCTTAATTCAACTTATCGGTGGTTATGCAAGTTCACTTCTAAAAATTCTCCATAAACAAGTAACCATTATGGTCCCCAATTAAAACGACTACTTGACTTTTTGATTGTCAGCACAATCGTGCATTTTATCAAAAGTGTCATTCGTATCAGGTGTCTTACGTACTTTCACCATTTCGTTCTACTAGGTAAATTAACCAATGAATTACAGAACACCTCTTTCGTGGCTAGGAAAAGGAAAGGTGAAATCCATAAGAAGTTCTGTTGATAGTTGACAACAGTCACAGAGTAGATAAAAAGAATAAGTTCAAAGTGATTTACCGAATCCTACCAAGTCTTTCCAATGGAATTCGGATTCTCCTTTTTCTATATAGCTGAACAATCTGAAGCTCTTTATTTAAGAGGAATTTGTACAAACTTCATCCCTGCCTTGGCCAGGGTTCGGCTGATGTGTCGGCACATCAGAGAGTGATGTTGTTCCCGTTGAGGCTCAAACCCAGTACTATTTGCTTCAAACGCCAGAGCGTAATCCATTAGGCACCTGAGGCATGATAGCCATCTCTTGTACAATGGGTGTCAGTTGCTGTAATGATACTTGTTGTTTTAAGCCATGTAGGACGATGCAGACTAGGTGGTTGGGGTCCACGGGACAAGAGGAACCAGTGGTTGGAGACCCTAGGTGATATGGCTCACAACCGATGTCAGTGGCTCAGATGTATACACACATTATCCTCATCTTAACAACGCTATACCGAATCTCACCATTTTGTCACTCCTTTTTTCCTTTCTTCTCTTACTTTATATTTCTTTTGACTGCATTCACTTATCTTCATCCTTCACCTCACTACCTTTCTACTTGATGTGCTGATATGAGGTGTGGCAACTCGGACCGTTACGCAGTAATGCCTGGTCCTATGTTGATAATGATGATGATGATGACTTGTAATTTCCTGTTGCTACACAGGGCCGGATTGCTTGACTTATGTTGAGGGATGGGATCCTATGTGGATACATGGATACTGCTGGATATTCGGCCCTGTATAGCAACGGGAAATAACAAGCGCCATTACAACAATCCTTATTCTGGTTATCGTTAACCAACAAACTACCATGATTGGTTGACATTTTACAGATGTGTTGAAAGTTATGTATATTAGAGTGAAGCCTGATGAGCTGTAAGTGAAATCAGTATTGTTCGCTTACATCTATTGTTGTTAAAAGGGTAAGTTGCAATATTCTTGACTTTAGGATAAAACTGAAGGTAAACAATTTAATTTTATGCCTGCATAACTTTGGCTCTCGTATCTATATACTGAACTCTCAGGTTGGCTGGTTTAAACTTCAAGAGTTATGCTGATTCACCATTATCATTGAGAAAGTAAAATACATTTGCTAAGACTCATGCCATAGTACAATTTCATTTGTTACACCTAACGTGTTCACGAAAATAATTTTATGGTACCTAGTTGCATCATTTTATACATCTATGCGTATGATTTGTCGTCATTTGACTGATCAAAAGGCTTCCAGTTAGATCTAACTAACATGGTTATGTATGTAATCCTGAGGATTGATATTCCAAATAATTCTGTCGTCACCTCAAGTAAGATAAAGGAATGAGGAGTTGAAGTGTAAAATGATAAATTTTAAAAATAAGCTAAGTTGTTGGTGAAATTGTGAAATTTCATTGACTGAGTTAGTGCGATCAAATTGTGTATATCGGGCTATCATCTATCTAGTTCATCATCCGATGTTAGTTAAACTAAGCTAATTACGGTCAGGTCATCATGGAAGACAGGAAAAGTTTTCCAACTGAATTCATCAAGAATGGTTAGATACAGGTTTAAAGACTGTAGGTTGTATCAATATCAGTAAGTTGGATGCATGCAAAACTTACTTTCATATTGGGAATCTATGGATTTCATGGCTTTTGACTGCTGCTTATACTTGCATTTTTCACCGTACTGTCTTTCCTGTATGAATTCCAACAACTTGAAGTGATATGTAATGACACTAAGTCCTGTACTGTTTATATCTGTCTGTTTTCCCCTTGATGACTTTATATCGCGGACTGCCAAAAGGTTGTACAACTGTTTCATGCATAAATATTTGAATCACAGTTTTGACGATTGTGGTACTCTTTTACTTTTTATCTTATTCTACACATAGCCCATTATCATGACTCAACAGCACACCACAATAATACTATCCCCTTATTTAGCAGAAATAAATTATCACATCACCTCAGTCAAATTACTGATGAGTCTGTCTAAGATATACTCGTCTACATTAGATTTTTATTTCATCTATAAAACACAGTGATACAGTATTATTTACTTGATGACGCCTCGAGCTTAAATTATCACTGCTCATAATTATATCTGATCTTTATAGCCCTGTCAACTCTTATTCTTTGTTTCGATTAGTAGTAAAATATTCCATATCTCCGGTATAGGTGATGTATCATTTCTATTACGTGTGTTGGGTGTTGATTCAATGAACAAAGATTCAGTAATCTATCTCTCTCAATATTCAATTAATTATATTGGACGTTGGTTTTATCCCACCCTATTGTATAGTTGTGTGTTGATGCATGCATGCATAGAATAAAACGAAAAACAGATAGTAGTTTGGATACTACCGCCTACAGAAAACCGATTTTTTCCAATAGGTATCAAGATTTAAAGTCGTCTCATTCAATATCAGTTAAGGCAGGTTTAGCCAAATGTCCAAATGATAAAGCTAAAAAATTGACTAGTTTGTGTATGGACCTAAACAAGGAATTGAAACGCATAAAAGAAGCTTTAATAATTGATAATTATCCTCTACAGTTTATTCAGAAATTCGTGCGAATGCACAAGAAACGAAAAGATAACAGTAATAAAAGTATGAATAATAACGACAACACGAGTAGAAAGGAGTTCACACCCTCCATTGTGTTGTCCTAGAAGGAAGGTACATCAGAAACTTTAGGTAGGATCCTGAACAAATCTGGAATTAGAGTGGCATTTAAACCTACAAACTCACTCAGAGATAAGCTTTGTCGGCTGTTTAAAGGTCCGATAGAAACAATTCAGCAAAATAATCTAATCTATCAAATTCCATACTGTGACTGTGAGGTCAAGTACACAGGATGAACTAGCCAGTTGGCGTCGGTTAGAACAGCCAAACGAAGAAATTTAGCTAAATATAGAATGAGAGGCCCGAATAAGATCAGTAATGTAGAAACCAACTCGGCTATTACAGTGGATGCATTAACACACAACCATACAATAGGGTGGGATAAAACCAACGTCCAATATAATTAATTGAATATTGAGAGAGATAGATTACTGAATCTTTGTTCATTGAATCAACACCCAACACACGTAATAGAAATCATACATCACCTATTCCGGAGATATGGAATATTTTACTACTAATCGAAACAAAGAATAAGAGTTGACAGGGCTATAAAGATCAGATATAATTATGAGCAGTGATAATTTAAGCTCGAGGCGTCATCAAATAAGTAATACTGATTATCATTTTGACTATCTGAGATAGCCGTGGTTTGGCTGACTTGGTCAGTTGGTACAGCTTGGGGCCGGAAACCCGGTGGTAGCTGGTTTGAGTGCGGTCGTGGTCCCATATTTCATTCCACCTTCAATCATCAACCAGTATAAATAATACTGTATCACTGTGTTTTATAAGTGAAATAAACAAATCTAATATGGAATCAAAATTCTACCACAGTGTCCAAGTTGCACACTTATATTAATGGACATACCGTCTCAGACTTCTTTTATTTATAGGAAGTGGTAATTAAAATTGAAGCGAAGGGTTTCCTGAATCATGGAGAAATTCTGGTCAGTAATCGTGGCCCTCGAATGGAACCCAGAGGGGAAACGACGTGTTGTGTGTCCGAGACGAGGGTGACATGGAGGAGATCATGTGAAGAAGAAATGAAAGCTTGTAGGGAGTGGTGGATTGTGGTTCAAAAGACTGCAGAGGACAGAGTGCAATGGAGGCGTGCTCCTGAAGCCCTATGTACCACTAGTAACCCAATGGAAAAATAATAATATAATAACCATGGCTGATAAGTTTCATAGTCCAGGTGGTATAGTACCAGGGAAATAATTAGTAGACAGATGTTTCCAGTCCTGCCATGAGCCAGGTTTCGACTTCACCTTCAAGTATTAACTTGTATCTTTAGTCAAACTAACTGCAATAATAAATGAAAACTACATAAAATAGGTCGTGTATAAACATCAAGTAACTTAAGCAAGCTTACAGTCATTCTATAAACAAATTTGTGAAACTCTACACTGTAAAAAAAAATTAGGTAGCCCTATATAC